AGCTTGTAAAGTTTCAAAAAGGAGTTATCAGATGCAAACTTTTTAGCTGAATCAATGTACTAAAAGAATTTTTTTTTACAAAGGTAGGTCAGTCCTGCTGTCTTTGTAGAGTTTGGACATACCAAATGTGTCTGCATTTTCCCAGTGCTCAAGGTGACAAGTTCTTAGACATGAGACCTTTTGTGGGATATCCAAGGAAACAGACAAAACAACACAATCTAAATCGGAATGGAAAACCATTTGGGATTGGTTCAGTATATGATGTCATAGGATCATTGACCTCCTTTGAAAGCATTTCAAAACATCTCTCTTGAAATATAAGAAATATGAATTTTTCTTTTCCATACCCGTTATCAAGATTCCTTCAAAACTCTGTCACTTTCTTTTCTTCTCTGGGGTTAATATTTCATAAACCTTAAAGCTTTAAATGTTTAATCATTCCTTTTAAAGTAATTCTTTGAAAATGACATGCAATCCAATGGTTACAAAGTTGTACTCAAAGGAATTAAATTCAAGACAGCTTGCCTTTGCCTTCGGCGGAGATGTGTATGCTGGGGGAGGACTGGCAAGTCTGCGGGTCCCTGGGGTGAGAGCAATTCCTAAGTCCTCATAAGTGTGATCAAAGGGAAACCATAAGCAAATATTTAATACGGTATTCTTTTGTTTTCTTTTTATAAACGTCTTCATTTTAATAAAGAAACCATAAGGGAAAGCTTTTAAGAGTTTTCATAAATAAACAAAAAGTAAATCAAAGGGTTTTGAACTTGAAGATAGTGAAAAGATACAGAAACAACTGCTATGAAAGCTGTGGTTCCCAAACATTGTTGGAATCACCTGGTCCAACCTTTAGAAACTGCTGCTGCCTGTTTCTCCCTCCCAGACACTGCCATTTAGTTGGCGTCAGTTGCCACCTGGTATTGGGTGTTTCCCAGGTGTTTCTAGTGTAAGCAGCTTGGGAGCCACCATGTCGAAAAGTATTTCCTCAAGAAGATGCTTCATGCTCTGATGATTTTTAAGGACATTAATTACCTAGAGTTGGCTGAATGGTGGCTCCCAGAAAGACGTGTCCATGTTCTATGTTACTTTATTTGGAACAAGAGTCTTTGCATATGGAATTAAGTTAAGGATCTTGAGATGAGGAGATTATCCTGGATCGTCTGGGTAAGTCCTAAATCCAATGACAGGTGCCCCTATAAGAGGGAGGAGATTTGACAGAGAGAAGGGGAGCAGGCCGTATCAGCCCTGTAGCTGAAACTGCCTATGATAAAATAATGTAAGACCACAATGCAGGAAAAGTGAAAAGTCTGATTTCTATAAAAATATAGATATACCTAAATGTTACCCAGCCATTGTTCCCTAACTTCTCTATTGCTGTAACTGCTCACTCCGTAAGTGTCACATCTTGACAGATGCAAGACTGGTGACTTCCCTAACTGCTTCTATAGATAATATCACTGTTGTGAAACCTAAGACTAGTCTTTGAGATACCTTCCAGACTCTGCATTAGGGGAGACTAGCATCAACCAGACCAGTGGCCATGCAGGGGAGCTGCCAATCCAGCAAGTCTTTCGACCTCCTACCCAGGATCCGTCCCAGCCAAGAAGATGATTTCTGCTTCCCACCAAGTTCATCCCCAGCCAATCAGCAGACCCAATTCCCTAGCCCTTTGTTCACCAAACCACCTTTAAAAATCTCAGCCCCCAAACTCTCAGAGAAATGGATTTGAGAAATTACGTCCATCTCCTCACCTGGTGCCTTGCAACGTTAACCTCTTTCTCTGCTGCACCTCCTGCTGCCTCAGCATATTGGCCTTTATCTGGGCAGTGGGCATGGGACCCGGTCGGACGGCAACACAGTCACAAAGGCAGATTGGAGCGAGGTACCCACAAGCCCAAGAATGCCCATAGCCCCTGGAAGCTGGAAGAGGCATGGAACGAAATCTCTCCTAAAGGCTCTGGAGGCACCTTGATTTTGAACTTCTGTCCTCCAGAACTGTGAGAGAATAACTTTCCATTGTTTTAAGCCACCCAGTTTGTGCTGATCTGTTACAGCAGCCCCAGTGAACCACATATTACTTAATGCTGCTGTAGCAGTATTGCAGATGCTAATATGAAGGATAAAGTTGATAAATGTTAGCTTCTGGCCACAAACGTATCACAGCCACAGGGGTAAATTGTGATTCAGGTTTCAATGTCTCCGCTGTGGGTAGCTGGGCTGGGGTGACAGCTTGGCAGGCCACTGTTTGCTAAAGTGAGACCTCCTCTGCCTGATATATCCTTTATGTCATTGAGGACTTTTTCAGTTGTGCCAAACAAATTCCACTGGCCTCCCATATAATGGTGAATAGATGATTGACTGAGATGTCCTGATAGAATGCTCAGTGACTTAATTAGAGGATCAAACAATGGAAATGGGATAGAGTTTCTATCCATCTGTCAGCTCTGCTCCTCTTTACTTGGGCTCCATTCTCAGGCAAGCTTGGTTTTTTGGGGGCAAGATAGCAGTAGTCCTATCTTGTGGCTGTAAAACTTCAGCTGCTGTGTTCCAGAAGTATCAGCAAACATCTTCTGGTGCTTCCCTGGCTGTGACAGTATTAAATGCTAATCCCTGAACCCATGGCTATGGTCAGGGGAAATACCACGTATGAACTGATTTAGGCTAGTGTAAAGGGTGTAGATAGATATAGATATAGATATAGATAGATAGATAGATAGATATAGGCTGATGTCACTGAATATTTGATTCTGTTTCAAAGCTAAATTTTAATGATTAGGGGTTCTGATTTATTGTAATTTATTCTTATAGATAGAATACTTGTATTTTAGTCTTGCTGGTCATAATCAATTAGTATTCAGAAACTATCTTTTGGGCATTTTGCCTTTTTGTTGTGGAATTTTCTCTTGGCCACGGGCCCTGCATGGAATGAAATCTGTCCCTGTGTGATAATTAGTTAGATGACAGGCACTGCACAGTGCCTCAACAAGGCAGAATGGATGCATCTGAACGACCATATTGGGGACCACATGGTTTGGCTTCTAGGTATACATATGTGGGCATTTCCCGCAGAAGTTGCTCCTCCTGAATAATGAACTGTCTGAGACCGAAATATGCTAACCTCTTGTCATCACTGAGATGTTGACATAAGGGTATCTTTGGTTCCAAGTAGTTATACTGAAATAAACCTTCCCTTTTTTGAGTATTTGGCTTGGGAGCCCATTCCTAGAGATTGGAGATGTATAAGATATTTCTTAACTTGCTTTTCTCCCCCTCTAGCTCTCCCATCCCCCTTTTTCCAGTTAAAGAAACTGAATTTCTTGCTCTGCAGAGTTTTCCACAGTCTCGTTTTGTTCATATATTCTCGTGGTGTTACTTAGCATCCTCTGTATTTCCTGGAAATTGGCAATGGGATCTAGGGTCTCGATCAGATTCAGATTCAGATTTGATTTGGGGCAGGTCTACTTCAGAGGTGGTATTGTGCTCTTCCATCGGGAAACACCCATGGTCTTGTTGTCTCTCTTTTTTTAACCTTAGCAGTCTTTGATAGTCAATGCCTGCATCTATTAATACATTAGTGGTTGCAAAATGGTGATGTTTTAGTTTTACCATAACCTTAGATTTTTATGCATGTACATAGTCTAAAAAGTCAAATATACTCAATGATCTTGGGAGATAAAAAATAAAAAAGTCAAATAGTACAATAATATATAATGAAAAACAGCATTCTTCTGGTCCACTCCAAATGTTTTCCAAGACAAACAAACAATTTAGTGAAAAGAATAGGATTGTTACACATTTTTGCAAATCTTTTTAATGTCTAGCTTAATAGGAGGCAGCTGGATTCTCATATCTTCTCTGCATGTATTCTCTGGAAAACTCTCCTATACACTAATGAATATAAAAAAGGCAAATAGTATTCTGATATTATTATGGAGATAGTTTTGACCTTGTAACCCCTGAAAGTATCTTGGGGACTCTACATTTTAAGAACTGCTGCTCCAGGGCACAAACTCTCCTCCTCTTGCTGGGATGAGAATGGGTTGGTCATCTGACTATACAAATTGCGGAAAGGATCTGGAGGTCTAAGTGCTCCTTAAACAGAGGTTCATCCGTTCTCCTGTTCTAAGCTTCACCTCTCATCCCTGCACTCTGTTCTTTCCTTGGTATATGATATATTTATTTCCCAAGATGTACTAGAGTTCTACAGCATGGATTGCTTTGTTTTTATTTGCATTCTCCTTTGTAAACTCTAAACTTTCAGGTTTTCCCATTCTGCTAAATTGATGTAAGGGTTTTAAAACATGTCTGCAAATACTCTGATACTTCTCCTGATGAAAGGTGGGGATCTGTGTTCTCTCTTCTTGAATATGGGCTGGCCTCAGTGACCAGTAGAATACAGTGAAACAATAAGTGTCTTCCACGGCTAGGTCAGAAAAAAATGATACATGTTTTAATTCTCTTGGGACACTTATCTTCAGATCCCTGAGGTGCTATGTAAGAGGTCCTAGGCCACCATGCCCTGAGGAAGCCCAGACCACATAGAAAGATCACAGGCAGGTGTTTCAGGTGACAGCCCAAGCTGAAGTTCCAACAAATAGCCAGCACCAATTGCCAGATGTTTGAGTGACAAAGCTTCCAGATGGTTTTAGTCCCCAGTTGTTGAATCACCCAGTTTTTGACTCTTCCCAGTGGAAGCTCTCAACATTGTGAAGTGACAACAAGCGGTCCCAGCCATGTCCTTTCTAAATTCCTGACATCCAAAATTTGTGAGCATAAGAAAACAGTTGTTTTAAATTGCTAGATTTTGGGGTAGCTTGTTACACAACCACAGATAATCAGAATGGTCAATGATCACTCATTTCTCTGTTCCTCATTCAGAATGCTCTTGTCATTGTTTGTCCATTGTCTTCTGGTTTCTTTGTCTTTTTGTCTTTTTTATTTGTTTAACCTCTTTATTTCTTTACTCTTTTAGGGATTTTGGCAGGTAGTAGAAAGAAATACATGTTCACTTTACAATGCTTCAAAAGATAACTTTTCCAAGTTTCTTATAGCCCATTGAAGTATATTTCAAGATTGTCTTCATTTTCAGTGTAGTGTGGCTTTAAATTGGCATCTCTGTGAGTGGATGTACCTGTGTACACATGAAACTATTTCTTTGACCCCTTTAAGGAAAAGTTAGGAGAAGAATGACTACTCCCTGAAAACAACAGTGTGCTTATTGTCAACCATGCCATGGTATTCCACTAAAGCTGAGGTGCTCTAGATGAAAATACATGTTCCCACACCTGTGGTAATTTTGGGGTGGTATATTCTTGAGTTGTTATATAAATAGTTACAGTGCTCTAAACCTCCAACAGGAAGTAACCACTCAATAATGTTAAGTATTTCTGTTTTCTCCACAGATCTTCACACCTGTCAGATGACAAAAGGTCAGATCAAATCAAATCAAAGTGCCCGAAGGAAATTAGTCTGGAACTGTCTGCTGCCCCTCCAGGTAAGATCAGGCTGATGGGGCTAATGCATTCTCTTTGACCATGTTTCTTTTTCCAAGTTTAGGGAGACATAATGCCCAAATGGACTCTATAAACAGAAGTATTTAACTTGTTCTAGCCAGTATCCAAAGCACTTCCTTTTGTTTATTCCACCAAGATTTTGCATTTTCTCTAGAACCACTGGGTATATTACTAAGGAAGTAGCACTTATGTATTAAAGTAATAATCACAATATAACACAAACCTATCGGAAGTGTGAACAGAGCAAACCCATGGAAGGAGAAGGGTGGGAATTATCCAAGCAGACCAGACCCTTTCTCTGAGGGCTCCTGCATTCACCTTCGAGATGCCACCACTCTATGTACAAGGGCCTTCTGCCAAGAATGTCTTCCGGTGACCTCACCTTGTCAACAGAGTAAATTGTTAGTTCTCCTAGCTCAGATCCAGTACCACCTTGTGAAGCGTTCTCAGCTCAGCACACCATTATGCTATCCTCCCCTTTCTTGGAATAACTGGTCGGTTACTTTCATCACTAATGATACGGGTATGGTTTTTAAAGGCACTGTATATGCAAAATTGTAACTTAATTTTTTTTTAAACTGAATTTAACATTTAACTTGAGCTCTGTTTGGTTAATTCTGAGATGTCCTGCTTCTTTTTATAGGGAGGTTGCATCTAAATTCTGGGGTCGCTCCCAAATCCCAGGAGGAAGGGGGATCCACGCTTGGTTGTTGTTGGTCCCTATTGGTGTCTGCTGGCTCCTCTTTTCCTGTTTCAGTTATTGGCTTTTATCCTTGCTGGCATGCATGAAACATGGGCTTTCCCAAATGGATTTGAATGCAAGTTCTAGAAGAATACTCTGTTTCTGATTTGACTAACATCAAGCCTTCTTCAGGTCCTTGGACCCTCTTTGCTATACTAAGCCTCCATACGATCAGGTCAAGAAAAGCTGTTTTTTTTTAAAAAATTTTTGTTTTTATTTCAGCATATTATGGGAGTACAAATGTTTAGATTCCGTATATTGCCCTTACCCCACCTGAGTCAGAACTTGTGTCCATTCCCCAGATGGTGCACGCTGCACCCATCAGGCATGTATATACCCATCCCCCCCATCTGCCCAACACCCGATGAATGTTACCACTATATGTGCACTGAAGTGTTGATCAGTTAATACCAATTTGCTGGTGAGTACATGTGGTGCTTGTTTTTCCATTCTTGTGATACTTCACTTAGCAGGAAGGGCTCCAGCTCTATCTCCAGGGTAACACAAGAGGTGCTATATTACTGTTGTCTTTTTGTGGCTGAATAGAACTCCGTGGCATCCATCTACCACATTTTATTAATCCACTCATGTACTGATGGGCACTTGGGTTGTTTTGTCATCTTTGCAATTGTGAATTGTGCAGCTAAAGCTTTTTATGTTCTTCCAAGCAACCCTGGGGTCATGAGAACTCAGTGTGTCTGTCTTCAGCTCCTGTTGCCTGGTCACCCCGTGTGCTCTGCCACTGCAGGATGTAGGAAGGGAGGTTCACATTTCCTCTGTTCTTGAATCCCAGACCTGTGGTGGGTTCTTTCAGCTGAGAGGACAGAGGCTGTCATCAGGGCACTCACCAGCCTCCGGGTCCCTCGCTTCCGCCTGGCTGCTCCTGCAGCTGAGAGAGCCTCCTTTGCGGGTGGAAAATTCTTGCCGCTAGCATAGAGGGAGCGACGTTGACAAAAAAAATTCTTGCTGCAAGTAGTCTTCTAGTCTTCTATTTGTTTCATGTCTGAACTTAGAAGTATCAAAGCCAATAATTTGAATCCTTTGTTCTTATGGCTCCTGTGACAGTTCCCCTCATGTCCCTTCACTCCTGAAAAATGGGCACAATTCATTTGATTTCTCTTTCTGTTAGGTAGGTTGCGAATGTGTGTGTGTGGGGGGGAGCTTGTTTTCTTTTTCTTTTGCGAGATTTTATTTTTGGAGATATAGTATGCTTTTTTTTTTTATTCTTTCTCCTATTTTCTCCTTCTTGCTGCCTATAATTCATACGTGACAGCTGGAGCAGCCTCAAGGTATCCTTGAGGATGTGAATCTGATTCACGTCAGGCTGGCAGGGCAGGAAACTAAGCGGAGCCTGAGTCTCTGATAACTTCACGAAGCAAAAATCCTTGCCCTGGGCTGCCTGACCAGGGCAGACAAATGACTCTGTAGCTGGACTTCTCTTTTGTCAGAGAATACATTCTTTGTATTTAAGCTACTATTTTTTCTTTTATGTAGTAATATATTTTTTCTTTATATGTGGGTAAACCTACTTCTAATTGACATTGCTATCCTCATCATTCCAGACTTGAGTGTGTGAGGGCTGAGTATACACAAAGGTAAGCAGGGTATCATACCTATTCTGAAGCATGTCGTGAGCCAGCGAGAGGGGTAGGACCCTGCACACCCGCTCTGGCACAAGGTAAAGCAGACGTAGGGAAGAGATGAGCAAATGCTGCAAGAGTGCTGAGGGGAAGGAGATACATCAGGTTTGGTAAATATGGTGAGTGACTCAGCAGAAGATGGATTTTGAAGGAAATGAGTAGTTTTTTTAAGTGGATGGAGACAGGAAGGGAAGGGCTTTCCAGGCAGAATGAATAGCACGAGCAAAGAGGGTATCCGTTCAAGGAATGCTGTGCTGTTGTCTAGGTTGGCAAAATTCCTGTGTGGAGAAGAATAGGGAGAGATGAGGTTGGAAAGTTAGGTTGAGGCTGCTTGAGAGAGGGCACTGAATGCCGTGTACCAAGGTCAATGTAATAAAAGATATTATAGTAATGAGCACATTTCCCTTTTTTATTTCCATGTTCTTGGTCTTCTTCATACTCAGTCAAGGCATACAATGTCCTTGAAAACAGAGATATTGTAATTCTTAAAGTTAGAATGCAAACAAAAAGCAACTGTTAATATTTAGCTTGTGACATTCAAAATAGGATTTAAGCCGGGCGCGGTGGCTCACGCCTGTAATCCTAGCTCTTGGGAGGCTGAGGCGGGCGGATTGCTCAAGGTCAGGAGTTCAAAACCAGCCTGAGCAAGAGCGAGACCCCGTCTCTACTATAAATACAAAGAAATTAATTGGCCAACTGATATATATATATATAAAAAATTAGCCGGGCATGGTGGCGCATGCCTGTAGTCCCAGCTACTTGGGAGGCTGAGGCAGAAGGATCGCTCGAGCCCAGGAGTTTGAGGTTGCTGTGAGCTAGGCTGACGCCACGGCACTCACTCTAGCCTGGGCAACAAAGCGAGACTCTGTAAAAAAAAAAAAAAAAAAAATAGGATTTAGCAGCAAGACAATAGACTTAGAAGCCCAATTTTGTCTTAAAAGGAGAACTTTCTGAATTCCTTTAAGCAGCTGAGAACAGAGCCCAGAGGGCTCAGATCATAGGATTCTATTACAAGTGTTTGAAAGATTCCCCTCTCCCTTTTGCTGTCTAGGCCTGGAGGCTTGATGTTCAAGTGGGAATCAAGAACAAGATAGTTCGGCTGGCCCGGTGGCTCACACCTGCAATCCTAGCACTCTGAGAGGCCGAGGCGGGAGGATTGCTTGAGCTTGGGAGTTTGAGACCAGCCTGAGCAAGAAAGAGCAAGACCCCATCTCTACTAAAAACAAACAAAAAAACAAGATAGTCCAGAGCTTCCCAAGCTTTGTGCAACCAGTGAGTCACAGGCATCTCCTGACCCATGGTCTTCACAAAAGCCCAGCATGTCCCAAGGTAGCCATGCCTTTTGGCTGGTAACTGTGGCTCCTGGCTGGGAGCCTCTGGACATGAACAGTTTGGCAGGGGCTTGAGCAGAATGGAATCAGGCACTCTTCCTGTGTGTGGCCTAGGAGATGCTCCACTCCCTCGGTTGACTTCAGGAACCAGCTGGCAGGTGAGGTGTCTTGTTACTCATCGTGGACACATGGCTTCTGATGCAGCTGGGAAAGGGCTAGGGGTTTATCTGCCAGGTGCTCAGGAGCATGGAATGCAGCCTGAGGGCCTATGGTCAGGGATCAGGGGTGAAAGGCTTGGTGGGGGCTCCTGATGGACCTAGTTGGGGCTGTTTTTCCATATATCAGATGCTTTTGTCCATGTGCAGCAGATGTGCGCTTTTGTGGTCTCAAAACTAGTGGCAGAATAACTGCTCTAACAATGCATTTGGTTCTGTAAATTAATGCTGTCATTGCTTTGAATACTTGATGGGGGAAAAGTTTGATTGCACTTGAAGTGTCTGCATTATCATCAAAATTTTCAACATTCTATTTGTTAATGAAAAAAAGCTGGTATATTCTTTAAATGTAATTTCAACTATTGTGAATTTTTGAATTTTTGCAAACTTCCAAAATTCTGAATGGTTGTAAAATATTCAGCGTAAAAAATGGTTTTATTTATTTATTTATTTCATGAGACAGGGTCTTGCGCTGTCGCCTAGGCTACAGTGTAGTGGTGTGACCATAGCTCATTGCAGCCTCAAACTCCTGGGCTGAAGCAATCATCCTGTCTCAGCCTACCAAGTAGCTAGGACTACAGGTGTGCACCACCATGCCTGACTAATTTAAAAAAAATTTTTTTGTTTGTTATGAAAAGAATAAGAAGGATCGACAAAAAGAAAGAAGGGAGGTTAAGGGAAGAAGGTAGACTGAGTAAATCAAGCATCAAGCATCACAGAACTATTCAATAGGTACATGGGAGCCTGAGATGACTAGTAAACTTTCTTGGTTATGCTGTGGGGCACTGCAAGATTTAAGAAGCAGCCTTGCATGTGGCCACTACTAACATAACACAGCAGCATTGGTGGGAAGAGCTGGGCAGGCAGGTCTGCAGTAATCCCTCTGGTTTCCCATGGGCTTGGAGTAGTGAGCAAGAGATGCAGGAATTTCCATTGGCCCCAGGGAAGGGGCATGGAGTTGTCAACTGTGATGGGGCCTGACAAACATGGAGGAAGAACATAGAGATTACTACAGGTGGGGCCTTCTAGGCTGGGGACAAACGACTGGACCAGAGGTGGATGTTCTCACATCACCCCAAACAGTCAAATATGGCCGGTTGCATCTCAGGGTCAGTCAATCCATCCTCTCCGTAGCAACAGTCAGTGGCCTGAGGGTGCCATCATGGTCCAAGGACCCCTTCCTGCTGTTGTCAGGAGGGCTCAGTAAATCCCTTTTACAGACACAGTGGCCATCTTGGGAAAGTTGAATTGAGGGAACAAAATCTGAAAGACAGAATATTTGGCAAAGGGTCTGTTTCATCTAAAAAAGATCGTGAAAACTAGCCATGCTATGAACCGGGCCTCACACCACGGCCTGAGCTCCTTCCCCGCACAATCCGTGGAAAAATAATCTTCCATGAAACTGGTCCCTGGTGCCAAAAAAATTGTGGAGCACTGATCTACGCTACTTAGCTAGGAGGGGCTTTGTTCAGGAAGATCAGGTCAGTCTTACAGAAAGAAGAAACTAAGCTTTCTGGCCACATCTGAATGCAACGTGAGCCAGTGAGTATCTGCCCTGTACCAGCCAAGGGTTCGGGCTTCATTTCTTAGGCGAGGGGGTGGCTTTACACCCTTATTGGTATTAGTGGCTCTGTCTGCATCACAGACCATAAATAGACTGTCCTTTCCCTCCTTGCTTACCCGAACTTCCCAGCTCTTCCAAAATGGACACACACTGCTTTTGGAACAAGAACCCCTGCCTCTACTTTCCCAAACAATCTAAAATAAAATCTATTTTTAATGAAAATGATGAGGTTTTATGTTAGGGAATAGTTGGGAGATTTCTTTTAAGCCCTAAAATAATCTGGCCTAATGAATATGCTCATTAGAGTTATTCCATTTCACACTATCTTCTTTTCCTAAGTCCTAAAATATACGAAAATACATTAGGTAACAGAATGGTGATGAATCCCCTTACATAAAGTGGTTATAACTAGAGATTGTTTTTTAAAAGCTGGCATTGAGACATCACCAAATACATCCTCTTAGGTCTACAGAAAGGATTTTGGAAGTGGCATGTGATACATTAATTCTAACTTACTGCTTCCCACGTATCATGAAATAATCATTTTTTAAGCTGAAAATATTGGATGATTATTTCTAATGTGAAATCTTTTTTTTCCCTTTAGTTATAAAGTGTGCATTGTGAAATGCCTGTCATATGTGTTTCTTGGGCTGGTGATCTCCCGGATGAAGACAAATATGAAACAGAAAAAAGGATGTTTGTGTGGGGGCCAGCCCGTCACTGACCCTGTCACTGTGTGCTGGCCTTTCCCACCACGGACGTTACGCTTTGCTCAGGATCCTGCCTCTTAACTCTTCTGCCCTACCCTGCTCTCTTTCTCCTGGGCATGCATCTGAATGTGGGTCCTGTTTCTCAAAACACTCATATTTATCCCATAGTGTATATGGGAGACAATGTAGCAAATATGCTTTGTGTCTTCAAAAATATGGTATTTTTTTTTGCCATTTTCTTTTATAAAAGGGAAGAGCGCCATTAAGATGTTCAAACTTGAATTATACATAGAAAATGTGAATATTACTCATTAAAGTGACAACCTCTGTACCATTTTTTTTGTCCTAAATTACACCACTAATCCAAATATTGTAAGGAAGAGCTGGTTTATGAAAGGTGATTAAGTTAGCAGTGATGGATGCTTATGTTTTAAATAAAAAATGTCAGCTCCTTAATATATCACAGACTCCTAATTTATAAAGCTGTGCCCCTTTAGCAGTCTGCCCATCTCATTTGTCTCCTGGGTTTTCTTTATTTTGAGGACACAGCGCTGCTATTATTTTAGGGGCACATCCTTGGGTGTGGCGGCATTGGTGACAGAACAGGGTAGAGTCTCAGTCTGACGGTACGGTGCTTTCCTTTGTTACGGCATTTTTATCTTTGAACAGGAAAGGGGTAATATGTTCACTATGTAAATTAATTATAAGCTTTTTTTCTCTGTAAGACATTAAGGTTTTAGATGGTAATTGTTCTTTGACTCTGGACACGAGTCTTTGGAGAAATTCCCTTTGGTAAACACAGTTCACTCACATGCAGTGGGAACAGCCATCAAAAGCTTTCATGAAGGAGCTAATAGTAGAGAGCGATAACGACTTTGCAAGGGCGTTGGGGGAATTAGTCAGAGAGGTTCTATAAAGGTTCTGCAAAGTGGCTTGGAGATGAAAAGTGCAATATAAATGCTAAGTAGCCCCATATTTTTCTGGGAAGAGGTGCAGTAAATGTAATCAGGGCTCTGCTCAAGCCGAGCGGCCTCCACACTCATATTTAATGTTGATGAAATCACTGGCAAAACTTCCCACAGAGCGTCTCTGTCTTCCTCTCACTGCAATGTAAATAATTTCCACAAAAGTCGGAGAAAGTCCTGCTTATGAAGCCTTTATGCAATTCCAAGAATCGTGAAGAAAAAACTGGGCATATGGTATTTATATAGTAGGCACTCAATAAATATCTGTTGATTTTATTTTATTTTACCATTGCTTTTTAGGTCCCCTTTACTCATGGGCTTCTGAAGTACCTTATGAGAGCATCAGCACTAGGTGGCGCTATGTTACCATGAAGACTGCCGGGGGGGGGTGAGTGATGGTGGTGGGGTGCGAGTCTCTAATTTTGTAATTAGCCAGCAATGTAGATAAGCAGAGGTTTAATTTAAGCCATTTCCCCCTCATTATATTTTATAAGAACCATGACCTTTTTATTTTGGAGGGGGACAGGGGCCTACTGCATTATTTTATCTCTGCATAAAGCAAATTCAATTTGATTTAATTCTCACTTTGAAGGAGAGAATGCCAGGCTGCCACCAGCTCTGTTTCACAGCGTGTGGCGTTGGTAATGAGCTATGGCAGCGCTCCTCCTGCCGCCAGCTCTGCGTCACATGAGCAGTCGGAAGGTGACTTGAGATTTGGAGAAATGGAGGTGTGTGATTGATTCTTACGAGGAGAACATGCTGTCTAGTCTTTCCTTCTCTGAAAGCTAATGACTAATTTTTGTTAGACTACAAGTATTGGTTTTCTCATAGTCCTTGGAAATTACCATAATGGACTAACATGTTCCTTTTCCCTTTAAAAACAGTTTGTAATGATTCAAGCTGTTAACGATTTTGAAAATGGTGGAACAGTTAGGCCTTGGAGTGACATATAAAAGCACATTCTAGCACAAGAGATCATTGGCTTCCATTGTGAGCAGAATTATCTTTTGTGAGAGAATGTTCCTTCCAGCCTTCCATCTTTCATAGGTGTGAGGTTATGTGTCTTTTTGATTTGTTAATCTGTGTTTCAATCTGTTTGGTGTTTAAAACATTCAGAAAGAGTTAGTTCCTTTAAAGAACCCAAGAGGGAAGGAAATGAGTCCTTCACCAGGATATAGGCCTCCGAATGATTGCATTACTATAATGAGATGTGTGGCTATATATATCTCTATATCTATATCTCTGTATACTCATGCTTTATTAAGACAGTCTGTGGCTACTCAAAAAGGAAATTGGGAAGGAGAAATTTTAGAAAGGAAGCCAGAGAAGTTACTCAAAAGAATAGAAGTATCTTGGTCCAAGAAAACGAAAGAGGCTAAGGTATTTGCTAACTCTGCAGTTCCCAAATTATGTGCTGGGACACCCCAGCCAGGGTGATGCAGCAAACTCACAGGGATGCCCGGGGATATTTTATGTTTTTGAGGGAAACAGAGCAATATCTATCAGAGACCAAACAAACTACTTTAGAGTTTCAATATTAGATTTTACTGCATTCCTTTAAATGACATTGCATTTTTTCAAAACTGAGATTTTGGAGATTGATGGGATAAAAAGCAGGAACTGTGTAAAAATCACTATGGGACATTTAATGATAACGGCAGTGTCCAATCTGATTCTAGTGTTTGAGGGGCTGTACATGACCCACGAGGCACAAGCACCTCATTTGTAAGTAATTGTGTTTATTTAAGAATTAAATGACACTTCTTCCTTCAATTTATGTGTATTATTTTTTTAAATGGCTACTCGATTGTGAGGCCATAGATCTTAGAATTTTTAGACCTACCTACCTAATAAAATGAATGGTTATGTATCTATTTGGCTGAGACACTAAGGGTGCCATGAGCTTAGGAAGTTTGGGAACTTACGGGCTAACACTAAGTGGCTTCTTGATGTTGCTTGAGCAGTGCTTGACATGCTTCTGCCTCAGAGCCTTCGCTTGCTGTTCTCTCCACCTGGAAGGTGCTTCCCTCAGATGATAGGTTGACCACACTCCTCACTTTGCTCAAATCTCACTTGCTCACGGAGGCCCTCACTCACCGCCCGCTTTCATCCTGTCCCTGTCTCCCCTCCCCAGTGCTCAGCTGCCTCTTCCTCTCTCTGCTTTCCCTCTTGTCCTTCATCCTTCGCACTTTTAATACGCTATACAGCTTGGTTGTTTATGATTTTTGTTGTTTATTGTTTGTTCCTCTTGCTGAACATAGCAATGTTCTTTGCTAGTTTTTTTTTTCTGTTTTTCACTGACTAAGAAATAAAAAGAAGTGTTTAGAAAAGTGCCTGGTATACCTTTCTTAGTAAATATTTGTTGAATGAGTGAAAATTTGTCAGTGGTATCTGAAGCCTGGTAAATATATGTTTTTGTATATATTTAGTATAAGAAAAAGTATACAAAAATTATATAGAAACTCTTTCTTGCTCTGAGATGTTTTGTGATTCATATATTGGAAGAATATTTAACTGAGTTATTTTTGTTTTGTTGTTTTTGTTGTTGCTTAAATAAATCCTTATGGTTTTGCTTTATACAATGAGAGTCTGGCCGGGCGTGGTGGCTCATGCCTGTAATCCTAGCTCTCTGGGAGGCTGAGGCGGGAGGATCACTTGAGGTTAGGAGATAGAATGAGAGAGTGAGTACATCAAAGATTGTGTTCTTGTTTTTCCTAGTTCTCCATTCTTTAAGATAAGCCTCATAGGCACCGAGAGCTACATAGTTATGTGCCCCATGATGACGTTTTGGTCAGTGACAGACCTCATATGTAATGGTGGTCTCATACGATTATAATGGAGCTGAAAAATTCCTATTGCCTATTGACAACTTGATGATCCTGACAACCTAGCCCTGTGCAGGCCAACGTGTGTGCTTAGTTGTTAACAAAAAAGTTTTTAAAATTTAAAAAAATTAAAAATAGAAAAAAGCTTATAGAATGAGAATATAAAGAGAATATTTTTATACAGCTGTGTAATGTATTTGTCTTTTAAGCTGTTATTACAAAAGAGTCAAGTTAAAAAAAGTTTACAAAGTAAAAAATTTAATTTACAGTAAGCTAAGCCTAATTTATTATTAAAGAAAGAAATTGTTAAAAATAAATAAATTTAGTGTAGCCTAAGTTTATAAAGTCTATAGCAGTGTACAGTAATGTCCTAGGCCTTCACATTCACTCACCACTCACTCACTGACTCACCCAGAACAACTTCTAGTCCTGCAAGCTCCATGCATAATAAGTGCCCTATACAAGCGTACCTTTTTAAAAAATCTTTATACTGTACCTTTTTTATGTTTAGATATGTTTAGATATACAAATACTTAACCATTGTGTTACAATTGCCTACGGTATTCAGTACAATAACATGCTGTATAGGTTTGTAACGTAGGAGCAATAGGCTATACCACAGTCTATACGTGCAGTAGGCTACACTGTCTAAGTTTGTATAAGTACGATGCTCACACAATGACAAAATCACCTACTTCTGTCACAGTTCTCAGAATGCATCCCTGTTGTTAAAGGACACATGACTATACTCACTAAATCCTTTCATTGCTTTCCGATAGAGGCCAGCCTTAGTTCTGTGAAAGAGTTAAGAAGTATCTCTAGGGCATTAAATTAAAACATTAGTCTTCTCTGAAGTGAAGAAAACCTCACATAGATAACTGCCATGCATCTTATCTCACAGTGATGGTTGCAGTTATTACAAATAAATGAGAGAGGAAGGTTACTAAGCCTTGGTTGATTCAAAGTAAAAAAGGATTCCATGTTGACTCGATGTATTAGTTTTCTATGCTGCGTAACAAATTACCACAATTTAGTGGCTTAAAAATAACACACATTTATCACCTCACAATTGTCACGGCTGAGGATACAGGACACGGGTTAGGCCCTCACAAGGCTGCAATCGAGGTGCTGGGCAGGTTGCGTTCTCAGCTGGAGGCTCAACTGTGGAAGAATCTGTGTTCAGGCTCATTCAGGTCGTTGGCAGAATTTGTTTCCTTGTTGCTGAGTGACTGAGGACCCCACTTCTTCCCGGCTGTCAGCTGGAGCCTGCTCTTGGGTCCTAGAGTCCAGCCACAGTTCCTGCCATGTGGCCCCCAGTATGGCCAGTCCCCAGCATGACCGTTTGCCTCTTGGAGGCTAGCAAGGGAAACTCTCTCTCCTGCCTGCAAGGATGGAGTCTTTTTAGTGTAACATAATCATGAGGCTGACACCCTCTTACAGGTCTCACCAACGCTCAAACGGAGGAGATTTCACAAAGGCATTAACATCAAGAGGTGGGAATTATCAGGGGTCACCCTAGGGTCTGTCTGCTACCCTCAGGCAGCAGAAAATGGAGAATCCTTTATATTTTTTTTTATAAGACTCCTACTCTCCTATTTGCCACCCAAGCTATATTTTAAAGTAACCCTCTTTTCCCAGACTATATTTTCCATCAAGAGCTATGGAGTTTACCAAAGGGCCAATCACCTGTGCTCCTGGCATGGCCTCAGAGTGGTGAAGTTCTCAGCCTGAGCTGACCTCTAGCTTGCTGAGACTTCCTGCTCCCGACACAGAGGGGCACAGTGTTGCAGGCACAAGCACCCTTAACTGACAGGGCGGTTCG